CCCTTGGTAAACAGGGTTTCACACACACACACACACACACCCACCCACGCACGCACGCACGCACGCACGCACGCACGCACGCACGCAGATGATGAAAACCCCACACCCGCAACTCCATAGTATGAACCCAAAATCACCGAATACCTAAGCCCGAAGCCCTAAACCCTGAACCCTGAACCTTAAACCCTAAACCCAAAATCACAAAACCCCTTGCAGGATCACTGCCTGCTGCTCAATGGCAGTCGGACAGCCATGCGCCGCGAGCCGCAGGACTTGCTAATATCAAGAGTAGGGTTTAGGGTTTAGGCTAGCAGTCAACTAGCATCATAATATTGTATTCATATATATTCAGTTATAGTAATACTGTAGTAATACGGTATACATATTCGAATAGCCTTATAACATATTGTGATACATTATAATATATTCTAGTAGATTGTAATACTACTATACTATGCTATAATCTATGACAAGATATGATAAGAAGTTTATAGTTTACTATAAGAATATTGTAGCACACGATGCTGTTCTGGGGGTGGGTTGAGCTCCGCCACTCAGATAGCAGTTTGTCGCGACTGTTCGTTTCTATAAAAGCTGAAGAGTTTGGGCAAACAAGTGGGTTTGGGGTTGTGGGATTGAGGCCTAAGGTGTCTCACTATAGTCTAAACCCCTAGTATCCGCCTTAATGACCCCTATAATAGTACCTTATATAATCCCCTATCCCTTTAAGGAGTTTAGACCATGGCTCATTTAGGGATTGCTTATATCAAAAGGACTGCAATGATGGTAGGTTGGGGTCGTGCGTTTTTGCATGTTCCTGCCCGACAGCACAGGAGCTTGCTACAAACTGTTGGGAACCCAGCGCCGTCATATTGCTGTTGATGATGAGGCGACCGCCGCCGCAATCATGTATCATGGTCTTGGTGCAGTGCCTTTGAACCCTAAATCCTAAACCGTGTACTGTCAACCCCCTTACCAGCATTTGAATATAAGGTATTGCGATTACATAGAGCTCATAATATTTTTTACAGGTTGTTACTGGGTCAGGGCAGTACCAAACGTAAACCTTAGGTGGACCCCCCGCCCAGTAATGGTGACTATTATGGATCATAGGAATTCTATTAGGGTCCTCTTATATTCCTATTATCCACTATTACAGGGTGGGGGGTCCTAAACCCTAAACCCTAAACCCTGAACCCTAAACCAAACGTAAACCCCAAGGCCTTTGAAGAGCCAAGGTTTGGTCTTCGGCAATGCGCCCGTACGGCCTTGGGCCCAGTCTAAACTCCTAAAGGGGCGTTATATAGGGGATTATGTAAGGGACTACTATAGGTGATCTTAAGGGGGATACTTGGAGTTTAGACTATGGATCGTGTGGCGCTGGAGGCTTGCGACGGTATGGATTTCCTTCCCTTTCTTCTCTTTTTCAGGTCTCTTTTTATGTGTGCTCTTTATGGGTTCTTCTCTTTACCCTGTCGGCACGGTGGCCTTGCGCTGTGAACCCCAACTCCTGCTTAATTACTGGGTGCTCCTCGGTCTGGAAACAAGGTCCCAGACCTTACTGGGTTGCTGTTAAGGAACCTAATTTAAGTGACCATATTGGGTAAACCCTATTAATTACTATATGTACCCATTATGGTAACTCAAAATAAATTCCTTAACAGCAACCCAGCTTAGTGCCGTTAATGGGGTCCCAGGAAGCGAAACAACCACAACGGGCCCAGGGGGTATATTGGGGAGCTCAGCTTTGAGAATGACGCAGTTATCAGCCTGACCGGGGTATTAGGCATTTTCAGTTGAATGCGCCTGCAAAATCAGGGTCAATAGAAACTTGCGTACATCAATATTACAACAGCCGGAACACAACAATGCATAATCATACCGTTGTAGCTGCTGCTTGGCGCCATGCCCAGGATGACTCCGAGTGGCCTGTTCTTTGCCGTGCGTATCGAGGATGCGGTGACAACCTTTGGGGGTCTCCCCATTGTCCTGGCCCCAGGTGCAGGTTCAGAATACCCTTCAGACATCAAAATATATGGGGTTTTCCGAAAGTTAGGGATACCCTTTTGGGGGTCCTTACAATAATTATTCTAGTATTTTGGGGCCTATATGTTGGGAAACTACCATGTCAAGATGTTTTAGTCATAAGCATGAGCAGCCTCGTTTAGACATTAGTTTGTTCCTGTGTTCCTGCTCAGCATTGAACATCTCCTTCAATGCTGGTGGTGGTGGTGCTGCTGCTGCTGCTAGTAGTAATAGTTTAGTAGTAGCAGTACTCTTCTGCTTCTTCTTCTACTCCTGCTTCTACTTCTCCAACTCTTTTTAACGGCCTGTGTCTTCTGCTGCTGCCTCTTCTGCTACTTTTGTTTTTGTTCATTCTTTATCTGCAACTACGGGACAGAAAGGGTCGGTGATGTATAGCTGGTTTGGTGCTATTGCTGCTACAAGAATCTTGAGCTATGCAACCGCATGGGATTTCTGACTCCGCTTTGCTATCCCTGAATTCCGTAGCCCGCAACTTGAAATACAACAGCTTTCCGCTCAGATGGGCTTCACGCGGCGAAAGCCGGTGGACCAGCCGAGTCTTTATCCCACTGTTTGCAGGCCCTTGCTGCGCACTGAAGCTCTGCAGCTGGATGTGCGGGTAACGTAGACTCCTGACCTCCAATCTAATCTGAGGTTCCTTATGAACATCCGGATTCATATGGCAATCCTTTTTTGCATTTCTCCCTTCCTGGACTTTGATTTTGCTTAAGAGACGCTGCTGCTGTGGCATGGAGATTGCTTCTGCCAGCGTGGCCGCTTCAAAGTCTCAAGCAACACGATTCCATGAACATGCTGGGCATCTTCATCCGTGTATCACAATGAGTATGTAGACTCGTAGACTCCGCCCATCAGAAAACACAACTCATATGGATCAGCAGGGGTTAGGTGACGCTCCCGCAAAAGATGCCTGTGGTTCTGGGCATCGGGTGCATTGCTGATTTTGATGCATTGTGGCATACTCTGTGGCTCGGACTGCGCATCAGAAGAATGGCTGCTGTGCTAGCATGGCCATCCTTGCGACTTGGTGTTGTTGTTCTGGATGTATCCCAAGTGAGGAGTGCAACGTCCCTGCAGATGCTGGACATGCTGTGAGCTAGCATGGAGGCAGGGGGCATGCAGAAGCAAATTGGTGGCCTACTAATTAGTTGCTAGTCAAGGTTTTTGTGTGCGCTGCTGAGGATGAAGAGGCTTGGGAGGGGGACGAGGCTTGGGAGGAAGAAGCCTGGGAAGAAGACCCTGCAGAAGAGGAAGCGGCCCCAGAGCAGGCTGTAGCGGCGGAAGAGGAGGAAGAGGAGGAAGGGGAGGAAGGGGAGGAAGGGGAGGACGGCCAAGCTAAGGAAGAGGCCAATGTGCAGCAGGCGGGTGCAGAGGAGTGGCGCACAGAAGAGGGTTGGGAAGAAGGTGAAGAAGAGAATGCGGATGGAGCAGAGGATGAATACGTCGAAGGTGAGGAGGCCGAGGACTGACTTGGAAGACGTGCTGCCCTGGTGGAGTCAGCTCTGATATCTTCCTGCCTTCTCATCCAGTAGGAAGCCGCAGAAGATGACGTTGAAGAGCCATGGTGGATTGACTCTGCGCCTGCAGAACTTTGCACACGACTGAGGTAAATTACAAAATCCATTGCTTCTCCATAGTTGGCCCCGTTATGCAGCGTAAGGCTCATATACATGTGTCAGCGTGCCAGAAGCAGCGCAAAGCCGGCAATTTTTGTCCTGCAGCGCCAAGGATGATGCCAGCGACTGCCGTTCCGTCTGCGATGCACTTCTGCAGGCCTCTGTAGTCAAGAGGGTGCTGTATGTCTTGCATGGACGAGTTCCTTCAAAGATCGGTCCAATGCTGCAAGGTGTGCAGAGAAAGCCAGAGTCATGAGCAATGGGGCACACGGACATGTGACCCAGCAAGAAGACATGTGACATGCAAGCGACTTGCCAAGATTCTTTAAGCTTAGATTACTCCAGCACACCTGCAGTCACATGCGCACTTCGGGAAATTTCCCAAAACCCTGACGTATTTTCCTCATCCTTTCCCTGCATTGCGCGCGAAAGCCTTTTTGCCAGCAAGGCAGATGCTATTGCGGTGGACGTGGAGGGCATCTGTGCTCTTATGGTACCAGCTTGTTCACATCTATGAGGTTCCCATCTCGTACCTCCAACAGTTTTTCTTCCGGCATTTGTTCGGTGCTGTTGCAGATCCTGAAGTGCCAAGGCATCAACTTGAGTCGCAAGGGTGAGATCTGCATTATCCAGGCCAGGTGGACTACAGGGATCTGGGTCCAGGCTTGCTAAGACTTCATGACTTATCTGCGGAAGAAACTGCAAGCACATGTATTTATGCAATGGGCCCAGCACCTGAATGTGCGGGGGTGACCGTGAGGACATCTTGAGTTTCTCAAAACTATGAGTCCCTTCTTCGAGGGTTCTTCTTCAGAAGATTGGGACACCTATGTTTAGAAATGCCTTTATTATTCATATACTGGCAGGGGTAGCCTTTTACTGAAAGCCTCTAGTCTGCTTAAAGCCATGCCGGTTCCAAAGCCGTCGACTTCTGTTTGATCTCTTGTCTTCCTGTGGCAGGTAGCTACCAGGACTGGAGCCGTCTACCTCTTTGACATTACCACTTTGGGTGAAACTGCATTTTCCGGCGGACTGAAGGCCCACGTCTATCAACTTGTGCAGTCCTGGGTGACGGGTTCAGTAGATGCCCAGCATGCTTGTCCTTTGGATGGAGGAAGTCTTCTACCATGCTATACAGGCTATAACCCCCCAAAGTGGCAATTGCAGTACTTTGAGGGCACTAGGTGGTGCAAGAATGAGGGCTCATGGTTCCAGACGCCTGTCGGCGAGAGGCCAAGGAAAACATAATTGCTGGCACGAAGAAGAGGGACCCGCTTAACTTGCGGAAATTATCTGGTTGACAATGATTGACAGGACGTGCTGGAGAGCACGCCCATCATCAAGCTACTCTATGACTGCCGCAACGATGCTGATGCTTTGCGCCACATCCATGGAGTTCAGCTCTCGAACGTGTTGCTTGACCCACAAAAGTCGAAGCTTGCAGGTTGAGTCCTATGGGGCTCAGAATTGAAACCCTAAATAGTAGTTTCCATTTCATTTTCCATTATCCGAATAAAACCCCTAAACCCTAAGCAAACCCT